CCTAAAACCGCCAACGGGTAAAATTTACCCTATCTATCTATCTATCTATCTATCTATCTATCTATCTATCTATCTATCTATCTATCTATCTATCTATCTATCTATCTATCTATGTATCTATCTATCTCTCTATCTATCTATCTATCTATCTCTCTATCTATAAGGAACGCAGTAGACAAAAGGCGTTACTATAGCAACACGTCATGTTTACGCTGTTATGAGGTAAATATTACCCGCTGGCGGATATAGGTATAAATGGCATTTTTTCGGGTGATTTTTTCAATCTGACTTCATATTGAGAAATATTAACAACAGAGGGTGCTACATAACACACTTTCAGGAAAAGTCACGGACTGGGAGACTGAATATTTTATTGAAAAAAAGTTACATACAATCAAAAAACAATTGACCAGTTGGCGGTTCTAGTGTTAAAAGGGTTTAAAACAACTGTCCCACAGTTAAATTATTGAAAAAATGTATCACATATTTTACGAATATTTCTACATATTTTGGTAAGCTGTCTCCTTTAGTCCAGTATTTATTTACTTGAATGAACTAGGTCCTTTTTTTTATTATCCAGGCAATATTATTTCGGTATTTTTTAAATTAATGTATATCAATATTTTTCCCATCTTATTTTATGTTTTAGTTCCTGTTTTATATATCACACAATTTATCTCAGGGGGCTTTACAGTTTCTACAGATCAACAAACCTTATAAAATTACAACATAGACAATCTGAATTACCACATGTTAATGTAAAAAACGAATGTGTTAAATACAAAATATATAATAGAGGATCCAGGAAATATTTTACAATCATTACTATAAGTTACCTAACTTAATATATTAAAAATGATTTCCCATTAAAAAACGATCTCCCTTGTTTCCATGATATTTAAACCCCCCTCTTCCTCCCTTTTTACTCCAGGCCTTCCTGGAGCGGTACCTGAGCCCCGGCCCCACGGTGCAGTACCAGCAGCAGAACGGCAGGGGGCGCCAGTGGACCCTGGTGAGCGAGGAGCCGGTGACCTCGGCCCTGCGTCAGGGTCTCATCTTCTCCCTGCGGCGCCTCGACTTCTCCCTGGTCGTCACGGTGATGCCGCTCCCCTTCCTGCGGCTCGGGGAGGAATTCATCGACCCGAAGAGCCACAAGTTCGTGATGAGGCTTCAGTCGGAAACCTCGGTGTGATGGATGCTTCTTTTTTCCCACGGGACGGGACATGGGGTCCACTCACATCCAATCACTTCCTGTCTGTGACACAGAAACCCTTGAAGGAGAGAGTGAACCCCTCCTGATATGAAACTGCTCAATGATTGTTCAAACCTGGAATAAAACGAATGCCTTCTGTAAGAGACTTTTTTTATACAGGGGGTTTTTCTCCTCTCTTGGCTTCTCCTGTTGCTGTAACCACTGGACTACGACTTCACTGTGCTGACTCAACACCAGACGAGGGGGATTACATCACATCTGTCACTTCCTCTTTCTCAAAAACAGAGCGCTCTGAATGCTGCTGTACCTCTGCCTTCTGGTTCCCTCTCCATGTACTGTTTCAAGAATACAAGGACAGTTTTTATATTAAAGGGTGTGACTTCTTTTTTCTTTACTCACAGAATGTAGCATTATGTTGCTTTGAATTAACACGTGGCTTTTCCGCGGCCTGAAGGCCAACTTCTTTTTTATGTGAAAAATGGAAGTACATTCCTCAGCTACTCCAAACTGTATTTACATGACTGTCTTAATATGCAGGTTCTCTTTAAAACACTACACTGGCAATCCAACTTCCCTTTTACACAGAAGACTAAACCAAGACCCCATTCACGCCTGTTATTAACAAGCAGCCTTTATATGTATATCTTATTTTCATGAGGATATTAAAACCTGATGTTATTCAGAGTTTTACTTAATGTCAAAAAGACCAGAAAACCAAGAGTGTGTTTCAACACTTTCAGTCTTTCCTACCCTGTCTGGAAGTAACAAGTTCCTTATTTTAAAAACCCTATACTTCAACATAAAAGGCTAATCCCTTGCCTTAAAGAACAGGGAACAAACATGACTAAATAAGGAGAAAATTAAGCATGTCCCAGGTACTATTTTAAGTCGCTGACTAACATGTCCTCATGGGTATTTACAGCATAAGGAAGTGTATGTTAACTTTCAGTGTCCATTTCCGTGCCTGACTTTTTATGGTTTTCGTGAACAGATAACATTTTCTCAGAGGATGAATTTACTAGCCAAGTAATTCAGATCCGCTCTAAACTTTACCGTGTTCTTCCTAGGCCCATGATTGACCTTTCCAACACGTTTCATACAAATGGGGCCTTAAGTTTTTCAGTAAACCTGCTGAAAGACTTACAAACTGAACAGCTTGTCAGAGACATTTGGAAAGTCACCAGAAAACCAAATCATATCATAACAGAACACATTGAGTCTAAAAAAAGCTAAAAAAATCTTTTTAATAAAAGGTTTTCTCTAAAGATTGTGACTTGATCAAATTCATCTGGCCGCCTTCTCTAAGTCATGAGCAGTTTTTAAAAGCTTTCAAAAGTCATGTATCCTTTTGACTTTTGAAAACACAATTTGTCATAAGTCCCTGAGCTCTGCCTGTCCAATTAAATATTTATATCCAATCACAACGCAACATTAGGACATCAAGAGCTACAACTAATGAAACTGTACATAAATGCAAAGACTTGTGAGTCTGTCTTTCTGCAGATTCAGGTGACGTGTCAACAGGTTTAAATGAGGTCTTGGTTTATTCCAGTCTTCTTAACAATCCATACATGTGAACTCAGTCTTGAGCACACAGCTGTAGTTCAACTCAGCTGCTTTCTGTTTTTTTTTTATCATGCATTTTCACAAAAATCCCAAATCAGACGTGTGATTGTAACTCTTCTGTGCAGCTCCTCTGCTCACACACACACACACACACACACACACACACACACACACACACACACACACACACACCGAGCTGCTCCATCCCACGGCCTTACTCTTCCTCCTCTAGGACCTAAAACACTCTGTAACACCAAAACACTCCTGAAGCTGAGACGTGCGGCGATCCGTTGAATCTACCTACAGTTTGCTGAGCCAAAACATGACCGGCGGTTTGCTTTTCAAGAGAAAATGTGGTTTAAAAAAGCCATTTTAAATTCCTAACAGCAAACACACGGCTGACATTTCCCCCGAGTGACCACATTCTATAAAACAAACATGCATGCTTGAGTTGTTTCAATACTTTTTTGTAATACTTTTCTATCATTTTGATGGTGCCTAAGTTATGACGATGCAATTTCCCCGATGTTTTTACTTTTGAAAAACAAGTGGCTTGTACAAATTTTGTAGATTTGGTCTTGTATTTTCTTTCTCTTTTGGTAACTGTAGCTTGTATAGTGTCATAGGCCTTTTTCCACTATTAAACCATTTTATTCCTTATGTCTTGTTTTCTTGTCACTTATTTTGAAGCGTAGGAGGTTAGAGAAGTTCTCTTTTACAAAAGACTTTATAGAAGATTTCTATCTAAATGACCTTCACTTGGATATTGGTTGCATCTGTTCGAATGTGTCTCATATCTTTTAATGTTACAGCTATTCTCTGATCGTATTGAAAGCACTATGTTACTGCATTGAGCAACTTTAAACTGTAGATAAGAAGCGTGTTTACAGGCGTTTTAGAGGAACTTCGTGATGAGAGGATTGCAGTGCGGTAGGCGTGTGGTTTCACAGCTTTAAAAAGAAAAAACGGACAGCTAGCCCCGGACTTCCTGTTGGCTGCTGCTCACAGAGCTCACTTCAGACACGTTTGTGAAGAGATCTCACTGACAGCCGACAAGAAAACAAGGAAACAGATCTCTCTTTTTCTCTGAAACCGTAAGTGCTATCCATCGCTGTCTCTTTGTTGACCCTAGCTGGACTTGTGAGGATGAGTAAACACCATGGAGAGATTTTAAATATACCGTTAGCTTTAAAAAAGTTTTCGTTAAACAGTCAGTTGAACGAAACAGCATGATGGAGGAGATGATGGTGTTTGATGTAGACGGTGTGTTTTCTGTGTGCAGTGGCTTTCGGAGACATGAACGTGTGTTACATTCTGGACGGGATTCTCATCCTTTATGGCATCATCCTCACCGTCCTATACTGCAGAATGAGGGTAAGACAAACAGGAACAACACACACACACACACACACACCAGCATGATGAAAGTGCTGTATGTTCCTTATTTTTCTCCAGACGTTCTCCTGAACTCTTGTAAAAAGTACCATTATTAACAACATTTTAAGAGTTTTGATCGTAGAAAAAGTCAAGAAAACGGTCTACAAACATATAAAGATATCGATGATTCTGTCTTGAATGAAACTAACTTCCGTAATTACACCGCCGGTTCATAATGCTCTCTGTTTTAAACGTTTGTATGTATTTGATCTACTTCATTGCATATTTGTTGTGTGAAATTGTGTTTTTAAAGTGAATTTTAATAACCTCAAAAGCCCTATTTAAAATAAATTACTATTTACTATTATTATTAATTAGTATGTATTCTTTTTTTTGACCTTCATTGTATTTATTTTTATGTCATTTTCTATCTCTATAAAATATCTCCATCTCCTTTTACATAACTGACTCAAATCACTTTCATAAATTGAATCTCAAACACAGAGTCTACAGAGTTTAAAAATATTATACGAATCACTAAATCCTGTGTTTTCTGATGTACCTTTTAACAGTGGACTCCTGCTGATCCCCCTGCGGTAAGTTTTTTATTTTGAATAAAACTAAACAAAACGTTTGTTTTTTAAAATGTGTTGGTATTCAACCCTCAAAAGCTCAAGTTCTGCTTTAAAGCGAACATCAGACTATGGTTTCCTGTTAGCTCGAGCTGACCACCAACCTCCATTATTTATACACACTCACAGTTACCAGCAGCGTTTCTTCACATAAAACCCATGTGTCACATCCTACTTCCTGTTAAATGGCATGCAAGAACACATGAAGATCTTGACCCTCGAGGCTTAAAATCATTAAGCAATATACCCCAAAATGTCTAAAAGTGTGTTCATTAAGAAACGAGTGTGGCTGAAGTACATTTTATAACTCCATTGAACTGTTTTCATCCCACAGAAGAAGAAGCCCGTGGAGGGAGGCATTTATGCGGTGAGACCTCTAATTCTAATGCTTAAAAAGACATTAAAAACTGCACATGATGGAAACGTGAACGCTTAAGGCACAAGTGCATGGTAAAGAAAACCTATTTTTATTCACCATACCTTGCTGTCAGAAAAGAACAATCTCACTTTGTGCAGGAAATGCTCACATCCTCGTTTTGTTGTTACTTATAACACAAGGTACCTTTTAACTATATTTCCGTGTGTGTCCTGCAGGGTTTGACCTCTCAGAGCACCGACACCTACGAGACCATCAAAATGGATAAGAAGCCGATGGTCTGACGGGACTCTCTTAAAGCTTTAAACTGTATATTATCCTGCCTTTTCTTTTTGTAAAAAATACTATTCTTATTTCCAAACTGCGCATGTATGTAATGGTAAAACTAACTTAATTTAACAATGCACTAATAAAGGCTTTATGTGTTTTCACTGCGTTTCACAGCTGTGTCACCCGAGTTACTCAGAAAACAGAAGTTAAGGTTATTTCTAATCATCTTCCCTTTTTTTCAAGAAATGACGGAGAACTTGTAAAACCCACAATGTATTTTAAACTCAGAAAAAGGAGTGAAACTTGTTCTATAACACAGTCATTAACACATAATCTGCTTATTATTCTGTGATACATCTTAGATTAGATTCTCAGGGGAACATTTATCAAATTCATATTTCTAAAAAGCCCAAAGTGAAGATTTCAAATGTCTGTCTTTGTCTGAACAACAGTCCAAAGATCCTAAAGATGTTCAGATATACGATGTGTAAAACCAGCAGACTCTTAAAACTATGAAGGTGGGCTTTGCTTGTTTTTGTTCTATCAATCATCTAATTGATTAATCGACTTAACTAATAAGCTAGAAATAATTGGTTTAATAGGATTTAACTTGGACTTAAATACTCATTCATTTCATTTATCTGATTTAATTTTGCATGCGTTTTTGAAGCTTTTAATCAAATCCCCGTATTTGAAACACAACTTTCATGTTTTAACAAATTTTCATTTCAATTCCAATTTTCAAACTTTTGATTGCTTTAATGTGTCTTCTGACTTTTAAATACAAACGAATCTCAAAAAATGTTGTCTTATGTAATAGATTCATGTGATCCGCTTTATGTCTATACTCAAAAACAATAACACTGTATCCTTACATGTCAGTTTTGCAAATCCTTGTCAAATCAACTAGATTCGAGTGAAATTAAAAACACTTAAAATTAGTTTATCTTCAATTCAATTCAAATAGCTTTATTGGCAAGACCATAATTACATACAGTATTGCCATTTAGGATGTACTTTTAAGTTAATAAACATTTTTGAATAAAAGCAAGATTAACTTTTTGAACATAATCTAGAAAATGAACCACAATTACCTGATAATCCAGAAAGTAAATCTAACATTTCAATTTCTTAAAATGTACAACAGAAGATGGCCATCACACACGTTCACTGAAAGCCTGTATCCATGTGCCTGAGTGACATTCTCCCACGTATTTACATAGAAACAAAACTGGAAAGGTTTTGAAAACAGATGACGGTTCGCTCTGCGGCTGTACACTGTTTCCCCTCAGGCTCTTCACAACAACATAAACTCACTCATCCAGACGTCTGTTACAACACACTGAACGTGTGAAACAAAATGCACCCAGAGCTGGGGTCACAGCTGCATTTCAATGATGGTGAAATGAATATGAATCAGCCTATAAAATTATGTTTAACTTGCTAGTCTCACTTTTGTTGATTCCAAGTAAACATGTTGCAATGAGACGAGTGTTTTTTTACTGTAACAATACAATAAATTACCCTTTATGCCTTCTGTGTGTGTGTGTGTGTGTGTGTGTGTGTGTGTGTGTGTGTGTGTGTGTGTGTGTGTGTGTGTGT